ATTTATCTGATCGATTAGTTAATTTTTATTGGTGCAAGGGCCATTTTTGCAATTTTGAACCTTGAAAACACGATATAAAACAGTATAAATAAGTAAATATGTAAACAAATACAGTAAAATACGTGAATTTCCAAGTCATTAATTCATAAAGAAAAGTAATCTAGAAGAGGTTTTAATTAGTACACATTTTTATACTGTTAGGGCTTCAAAATATCGATATATATATATTTTAAACTGCACTCTGTGGTCACTGAGAAAGTCTTTTTAATATGTCCATCTATGTTGGCCAGCCCCACAGTGGACAAGCTGGGGATGAGATACAGTGCCTGAGGCACAGGAGTTTTTACACGTATCCAGCATCCTCCTAAGTGGTTGGGTGACATCTTACTTTGGTATTAGATCTTTAGGTAATATAACTCTCTAGTATAAGATTGTCGTTAGAATAATACCACACAGACTCACGAATAGTGTTGAGCTAAAAACGTGTAGCGAATTTGCTCTCGCGAATCGAATCCATGCACGAGCGATAAGTAGAATCGTTTGCTTCCTAAATAGAAAATATCGCTCTCGAAGATATGTGACCCTGTTTTTTTATCGCTTGAAATTCTCGCTTTATACTACGCTTGCATATTAGCTTCTTATCTCGTTTCCCGTGTGTAAGCGATTAAAAAAATAGCATTTTCAGCGTGTTTGGACGAGAAGGAAAGCGATTAAAACTCTCTTAGAGAGAAATTAATTAATTCGGTTACAGCTTATCTCGAAATTTCGCTTGTGCGAGTAAGAATTGATCAAAACAGTAATAGTAAACGTCCTTGGCTATCGAGTTTTTCTTATTATTTCGAGCGAGAGGTACAAATGAATACTATTTTCTGATGATAGCGAGAAACGAGAAAGCTTCTTCATAGCCGTAGATTTATTCATGACGTTAGAATTACTCAAAATTTCAAAGAAAAAGATGTCAGTAACTCAGTTACGATCACGTAACAACTACAAAAATCCATAAAATCCCGAGCTTATCGCCAACACTAATAACCGCAAATAATCAACAATCTGCTATTGTTAAACAGCATTAAACAAATTGGGAAAAAGCATTAAACAAATTGGAAATTTCTAATTTTCTTTATTAAGAAAACGTGGAGAAAAAATCAAACTACAATTATTGATCTTACCTTATTAGGGGAGACCGGGGCAACTTCGGCATGCGGGGCAAGTTTGTCAAGCGCTTTTTTTTAAAAACAAATTAAAAGAAGACTTTGGTTATAGGTTAGGCAGTTGAGTTTTATTGGTGGCTTGTTGAGTGTAGTGTTTTTATTGTTCTCCAACAAGCGTAATTGAATTAGCAAGCAAATTTTCATTTTCGTTGAATTCCATATAATATTTATTTTCCATTTATATTGAATTGGCAGGTTTTGTTATAATTCCATGATAACGAAAGTTACTTTTCCTGTTAGAAGGATGTAACTTCAACTTATTCACGTGGCCAGATCGTGGCTTGGCATTCTGTTCTCAGGGTTGTACTTAATGTTTCGAAATCATGACTAGCGGGGTAAGATCGGCAACATAAAGCCACATTAGAAGCAAAGGATAAAAATCAAACAGATGATAAATGAAAACATGTTTGCATTTGTTATTCATGTATATATGTCTTTGAACTTGCATTTCGTTGTAATAATATTAAATGGGTGTTGGATTTGTATTTCTTTGTTTTAATAGTGAATTCCAACTTATACATTGTTAATAACATAATTTTATATACGTGCCTATCTTGCCCCATTACTGTTGCCCCTATACCAGGGGCAACTTTAATAAAAATAATTAAAATAATTACAACTTTACAAAAAGAGAGAAGTTGCCGATCTTGCCCCTATACCCGGGGCAACTTCGTCAATTTCTCTCTTCTTGTAAAGTTGTAATTATTTTAATTATTTTTATTTCCAAACTGATTTTAACCAGTTCTATAGTAAGGTAACATTCCAATAGACAATATGCAAAGCTTTCTTTTCAGTTCACAGCAGTATTTATTACACAAAATTTAAGTAAAGCTTAACATGCCGATCTTGCCCCGGTCTCCCCTAAATCTTGTCATAAAGTATAAAGCATCCTTCTTGCAGGATGCTTCATACTTCCAGGATTCAAGATTAGGAATAACTTCTTGTTAAACTTGAATCCTAGTTTAGTATAAAAATAGAGAAAATAATACACTTCTCGTTTCATACGAGTTTGTTTACAGTAGCTTTTTTCCAACAGCTTCTAGTTTAAACGGGTTTTTTTTTTCCTGAAATAATTAATTGTTGCGTGGTTTGTTTCGAAAGAAAGCAGTAAATAATTTAATATATAAACACTTAAAATAGACTAAAATAAATTCCCACTAACACCAAATATTTAATCTATTCTGATAATTTGGTATTATAATTAATTTCTTCAATGCCAAACACACTACTGCCGAACTTTTAGTGTTATTTTCCATCTCACTTTCACTCACTCGTAGATTTTGTAGTTTGGAAATTGATTTGTCTTACCGAATATCGCGTGTTTGTGTGGTGTTACATCCCTCCCTTGCTCGGAGAGCACTAAGAAGTCAATTATAAATCTTCAACGGGTAGAAAGCAGGATAACTAGACAATGACCCATGGTTTTGTCTCCCCATTTACCTGAATGATCTCAAGAAATATCCGAAATAAAACCAAAGAGAAATTCTTAGGGGCCAGACAATAGGCACCAGGACTCATATTCGTTTTTCCAAAACAATTGTGAAAAAAAAATGTTCTTAAATTATATATTTTAAACTATTTTAATGCAGTGAGTTTACTTTGACGTGTGTTAATTGGTGCGATTATCGTAATTTCATAGCATCGATGAAATGGATATACTGTAATGAATCATAGCGAATTATTATATCCTTACATTGCGTTGAATGGAAAATTTGACATCTTTTGCAACGTCAGTTTCGTCACTCCTAATGAATTTAGGTGTTTGGAATTTGGTCTAATATATATAGTTGTGCGGTAAGCTGACAACTTAACACATTGTTTTATCTTGGGAATGTAGATGAGAGTAATACTCACTAAAAATTAAAAATTTTCCAAATTAATCAAAGTATGCAATCATAAAATCTATGCTTGTGAAAGTAAATAAACTCTTGCTTACAAGTACAGAAGGTCCTGCCGAACTGTATGATGAAGAGGTTTCAGAAATTGTTTTCGTATGATAAGAGAAGAAAATTAACATTCAAATACAAATATAATTCGATTCAAGCATCATAGCTATGGTTCTACATGGTTTTTATAAACTGTCTTTAGCAAACAAACGTTACATGTTTTGTCCTGAATACATGATTTACGTTCAGAATTAAAAATGTCACATAGAGTTCTAAGCATGCAAAACATTACCCCAAGATTTACAATGTAACATGTATATTGTAAATACTGATGAAATATATAGGCTATATTATAAAAAAGTTTCTTGTCTCTAAAAATTGTTGAAAAGTAAATCTCAAATACTACAGTAGAGGTAACAGAGAGTTATCACATTGCTACTGGTAACAGGAAAACGACACTTCTCTCATCAGAATTCAACTGTATCACTGGTTTATATACAAATAAAACAACTCGAAAAGCTTAAAATTCTATGCAAATTTCTCGAAACTAACCTGTTGTAGAGGGACTGATATTAGAATTGATAATTTTAACATACCTAAAATGATTTTAAATAAGAAATTTTAAAAATAAATTGAAAATGTATACATATAATACCGGTTTACAAACTGACCGGTACAAGAAAAATAAAAGTATAGATCACTCCAGCTTTTTGCAAAATATCAATTGTAATCTCTTTAAAAATGCCTTGCACATAGATCACACTACATTACATTACATACATTACTACATTTTTTATTTCTGTTTTCTGGTCATCTAATTTGGTTGTTCTATTTATACTTTTACTTGTATACATATTAAATGTATTTTTTGATACACATCAGACGGTTAGCACCATAATATATTACTTTAAATACGTTGGTTTCCTTTATATATGTTCGATTTTCCAGAAAAACCGAAAAAACACATCTAAAATAGTACAGTAGACAACTTTTCCCTTTTTTCTGTACCTTCTTGTGACTTTCCTTAACTGTGTATTAAATTTTAACTTTCAAATCCTAACCCTTATGGCTCTGCGCTTATTATTATTAGTATCAATCCATCATACTTTCATATGTACATTTGTTTGTTTTGGGGGTAGATAACAACTGTCCTTTGAGACTTTTGTGTTTACTTTTAAAAATAAATAAACAAATAACGTATGCAACCTGTATAAATATGATTGTTAATTAGAAAATCGTTATTTTAACTCATATAATTCGCTTCTTAAAAGAATAATATTTAAATTTAGTAGTAGGTAGTAGGTTAAAATAGGGTAGTAGATCAATACAAGAGAATAGTAATAATAATATAGAAAACAATGAAAATTTTAGTATTTTGTCTATTATTTATCTCTTAATTTCTTGCCTAGATTGTCACTCAGTTGACGGTGTCCCTAATATATAATATTATATTGTAAAACTATATAAATCTACATTTATAATATCAATATAGAATCTGTAGTAAAATGTTTACATCTTTTAAAGAACAAATGTTGTATCCTCTACATGATAATTATATTCAGGCCACACTTCTCTACACCTAGAAGTCAAGTAAACACGAAATCCTAATCACTTCGTTTATGTGTCGTTATCGAAGAGAATAATAATTACAATTCATTTGAAAAAAAACGAAAATAAATTATATTTTACATAACTCAAAGTAATACTACAAGTTTAGATAACAACAAGGTAAGTGAGCAAGACACTGACGTCACTGTTTTCTACAAAACAAGCCATATCATTCCATTGCATGCACGTCATTTCGTCTCCACAATACCTTTCTTGTTACTTATATAAATTACATACATTTACATAAAATTTTATTATATAACCCTATGTAAAAAGTTTCTTTTGCATTCTTTAGATTTGGCTCATTTCTTGTGTTCTCTACAAACAAAGAAACCGAAAATTCCATAGGAACTACGGAACTAAATTAAGTCGCTGACAGTGACGACAGAAGGTCAGATTAAATGAAATTCACTTGCGTGTCGTATATACCTCTACCAATATAATAATTATTTGTTATTGGAAAACCAAGTCAATTTTTTAGAGAAGTAACTTGTAATTGTTTGCCTAACAGCACTGAAGAGAAAGGTAAGAAAAATGACATATTCAAAATGTGTATATCAGGTTGAAATATTGTTCATTTTAATCTTAATATTAATATTTTTATGTGAATTTTTGGCTAATCTCAAGTATATAAAAGCCTATATTATAGTATGTTACAGTTAGTAACGCTCAAGGATTTTTAGCTTTAAAACTGGTTATATTGCTAAATATGTGTTTGAAATTTTAAAAATAAAGCAATTTCCTTATAAACATTTTATTTCTTGTATCTATTAAAATATACTAAAAATATATTTATTTATACAGCTGTACTTTTATAAGTGTTAAAAACATGTGTTGCCACCACTTACCAAACACTTTTTGTTCCACTTCTTATTATGAGGTCTACGAACGTCTTCGTGTGGTGAAGACTCTTTACCTTGCAGTCGAAGGTATGATTACTCGCCATTCTCACGGTTTGGTAAAAAGGGAGCGAGAGGATGGACCGTATGGAGTTAGTGGTGTCATACGCGGAGACGTACGCAGTTTGACAGTCGAACTAGCGTACAAAATTTATTTTAACAAAATACGCGTACAATAGTCACTCACTTCTACGTTATTCTAGGAAGGAAGTGAACAATGTGCTAACTCCAACTCCGGTCCATAAATAGGAAATGGGTGAAAATTAGCGGAAAAGTTCAGTTTTCTCCTTCGATTTTTTTTTCAGAGATGGTTCCAGGCGCATTTGGGTGTTCTTGTAATAGGAAAAAGACCAAGCAGAGACATTGAGTCATTTCCATAAAAAAAAAGACTAGGTTTCTGATGATTCGTTCACCAGAATTGACCAGCCTCGAAGCATCCCGTGTCCTTGAAGACATGGGTTTTTATACAGTTTTTTCCTGAATTCTAAGTTGGGATTGGTAGGGATTCACTAATTCCACCATCCTATTGGTTCTAACCTGTTGCTAAGCGCTGAAGATGTTGACCGCTCTGACCAAAGGGTTCGGTAATGCTCCCTCGAACGATAACCCGTAAATTAGAAAAAATGGTGTTTCTCTTCCCTTTCGAAGATGATGCAACCTTGTCGAAGAAAATCCCAGATATCTCCCTCGGAGAAAGTATTTACTTTCTCCACTCTGACCAGCTATTAGGAAATAAGCGAAGTTTTTAAATCAATGTTATTTTCTTTTTCTCACGTAAACGTCGAACAGGAAACATTGAAATTACGAGTACGTTTTACAACAACAAATTTCTTAGTATTTACCAACATCGCGCGAAGAATACATCGCCCGAATATCTTCGTTAATTCAGCGATTACATTCCCTGAATCATTGGGTAAGGTGTAGGACTTAAACTATCATACTTTACAATATGCGTAACAATGAACATGCCAAGCTATAAACACTATAAACAAAGTTTTCCTTTGGTTTTCATTTTTAAAGTTTGTTTTCTTTACTCTCGGATAACCCCAAGTAAAGTTATAAAAAAAAAGAAATTCAATTTATAAATATTTATTCTTTCAGGTGAACAGGTTATCAACATTTCTCAATTGAAGATAATAAAATGAATATCCACTGTATAAGAGAAAATCTTTGCTTCGTTTACAAGAAATTAGGAAATGTAATTGGACGGCATCCATATTATTTTATAAGTATACCTTTACTTCTCTCAGCATCTCTCTCTCCCTTCCTTGCAAGAATGTCGACTAGCGAAGATTATTATGACGTTATAGTTGCAGATAGTGGAAAGATTTTTAATACTAAGATATTTGTTGAAAGTACTTTTTCGTATAATTCAGAAGAATTTTCTGATCAGATTAGAGCACCTGATGTAATCAATTCCCTATTAGTATATATCACGAGAAAAGGTGGAGGACATATGTACGATAAAAATGTTCTTTCGGATGTAAGATTAATCGATGAAATAGTACAAAACGTAACACTTGATGGTGATGATAAGCAAATACATTATCTTGATATTTGCGCATTAAGTAACAATAAATGCTTCCAAAACCCGATCATTGAAGTCATGTCAGAAGTGGGTGTGAATTCTTTACTTCAGAAGAGAAAGAAGTTGAAATATCCCATTGATATAGATCTATTGTCTTTCACCTATAAAATTTACTTTGCGAATTTGGGAGGAGTAATTCTGGATAATGATAATTTCATAGATAATTTTAATGCCATGATGTTATATTATTCAACAGACAATAAAAATGAAGAAAAGAAGAAATTGTTTGATGAATGGTCGTTGGAGGTTTACGATACGATACAGAAATATGATTTTACATATGTCAACCTCTTTCCAAATTCGCAGTTATTTATTCAGAAAGAATTCGGGAATCAATTAAATGGAACAAAACCAAAAATAGGAGGTTTAGTAGCTTTTATGATTATATTATCGATATTGTTCTGCATGAGCAACAGTTGGGTTCGAAGTAAACCCGTTCTTGGTGTAGCCAGTGTCATGTCGGCTGGATTAGCAATTATCTCTTCTTTCGGATTAATGTCAGCTTTAGGTATAAAGAACATTTCGTGGAATGCCACCATTCCATATCTAGTGCTTGGTAAGTTGTTTGACACCTTCATTTAATTTCAGACATAAAAACTACTTGAAATTAATTTATCATTACTGAACACCTTTGGCTGGTGAGAGATATATTTATTTGCGATACACAAACGTTTTAAGCCTAATGCATATCCTATGTAGCATAGGCCATCCTCAGGTTACTAAGTTTAGAACACCAGATACAAACTGTTCCAAAATAATCATTATCATATACAAATACCGTCAATACAAATATCGTGTTTCCCCGAAAATAAGACAGTCTTATATTAATTTTTTGCTCTCAAAGATGCGCTAGGTGTTATTTTCATGGGGTGTCTTATTTTTTCATGAAGAAAAATTCACATTTATTGTTGAACAAAAAATTCCCAAGTCTAACTTAAAGGAGAGTGACGTATATCCGGTCGTGTCGAACTGAACTTACGAAGTTCCCGTGCTGGAGTGGACTTTCCACTCTCGCTTTAACTTAACCTTTTCTTAGCGTCGACATCAGGCTCGATGACCAATTAGTGCTTACTGAACCGTAGCACTATGAAAATATGATGAGGCGTGATTCCTGGCCGACCAATTAGCGATCACCAGCCGTAACATTATGCAAATCTGTGATTCCCAAGCCATAGTCTTATGCAAATCATGCCGTGTGGCGTGATTGTCTGTTGACCAATCAGTGGCTGTACTTTCAAAAAGCCAACGGCCACTTTCAACCATCTCTCGATGACCGTTACCACTAAAAACAAAATTTGCAAGGTCTTACTTTCAGGGGGAGGTCTTATATTTCGCAATTCATCAAAACATGTGCTAGGTCTTATTTTCTGAGGATGTCTTATTTTCGGGGAAACACGGTATGCTCTTGTAATGACACAGTGTACATGACAGACTGAATGAACTAGTAGAATCTATGAAATTGCCAAAATACTAAGATACAAAACTATCACGCTAACAGAAGTGATTAGAAGCTACGAAGGAATCAGGATAAATATGAAAAACAGCATTCTCAATAGAATCACAAAGTTGACTTTTAAGAAGAACGTAAAGAACATTACGTAGGAAATTGCAGACACAAAAATTGTAATGTAATTTTCAAAAGAGCACCAAATATTTACAGTATACTGACAAAGAAAGAAATTTAGATTTAGACTTAAGAGTGTAAATATAGTGTGAAATATAGCCTTTACACTATAGCTCTATTCTAGATATCACAAATTGAATGATCTACAATAACATGAGATAAGTCAGAGATAGTTAAGATCTTAAACTTTTTAACATATGCGCTGAACCCAGAAATATACAAGTGCAAATTGCAGGATAAATGTATTATGTCTAATGCATCAGGTACGAACAGTTTACCATCAGCAAGGAATTTCATTTATCAAAAAGAAACTTTTTTATGGAAACTCCTAGTTACTATACTAAGGTATATTTTTGTATTTATAATTTAAAATTCTAGTCTTATTTTTATACAGTCGACCTCCCTATAACACTGTTGATAATTCCGTTTTATATGAATTCCATGTTGTACGAGTCACTCAGATTTTACAAATACGTTAGCCGTTCACAGTACGGCACACGTATTTGTAAAATCTAAGTGACTCGTACTGTACAACATGGAATTCATATAAAACGGAATTATCAACAGTGTTATAGAGGGTGACCGTATTTTATTTCATTTTTCTTCATTTTAATTAACTGGCTCTGTTATACAATTTATAACAGAGAAAAATCATGGCGAAAGGTCAGAAAATAAACCCCTAAGATTTTTATATTTTAGGACTAAGGGCCTTGTAATATCCAGAAATGAAGAAAAAATTTGAGGTTTCTTTCTTCTGTGTATATAGGTGTGTGTGTGTGTGTGTGTGTGTGTGTGTGTGTGTGTAGAGGCACAATTGTGTTCATTTGCTTTGGAGCTAAATAACTCTTGTTTTTTGTCGAAAATGTCTCAAATTTTGCAGGAAGGTTTGTTTACTAGAGAAACTGATGCTATTAAATTTCCGATGTTAAATGTCGAGGGGATGAGGCGATAAAGGGGGTTGTGTCGTATTTCGTATAAGGTCGGACTTAATGAGGATTTTATTCCTTATTAGATTTTATAGATTAGCTCGTTATTAGATATTTAAAAATTAAGCTTTTTCCAATTTTATAATGACTAAAAATATAAAAAGTTGTTTTAATAAAATATCGTAACAGATGGCGGCACACACGCAGTTTAAAATGCTGCCGAGAAAATTAAGTAACTAATCGCGAGATTTTTTATGTTAAAATTTAATGTTAGAGTTTTAATTTATTATATGTTGATACTATTAAAATGTTGCGTTTATATTCTAATACTAGCTGCAAGGACCCGCTTCGCTGGGCAAAAAGTAACGATAGTGAAGATTAAGATAATTACATTATAGCCAATCTTATCCGTTTTCATAGAATGCAAGAATTCGGTCCCCCGTTACCAGACTAATTAGAGAATTTTTACGTTTAGTCAAACGAACTATTTTCAACGTTTACAATCGTTCTATAATCGAACCAATATTCGAATTTTATGTTCGAATTAAATTGGAACAAATTCGAACGAAACATTCGAAATAGAAAGCCACTTTTAACCACTTTCAGCCTCATATCTCCCGCACCCTTATAGTTATCGAGACGCGACCACCCCTATGCACGAATGGAGACTTGGGGCTACCACCACATACAAACACCATTCACGTGCAATGTGTACTTTTGGCGGAAAAGTGAAATATAGGGACATACATGTCCATTTTTATATATATACCAGCAGACCCCGCCACGCGTTGTTGTGGCTCAAATTGTATCTATAATAAATGTATAATACTTCCCCTGTGGGGGGAAATTTTACAAAAATTTTCGTCTTAGTGTACATTCTGTTGACGTACCCTATTAAACGCAATCAAAAACGCAAAAAACCGTATCTTAAATAGTATAAATAAAAGCAGAGTTCTTTACTGTAAGCCTTAATCCTGTCCATCTCCTTTTAGTGCGGGAAATTTCGACACGTATATGATATAAAAACACGTGCGCATTCGAATGCAGCGTTATGTCAAAATTTCAAAGGAATCAGCAGGAACAAACGAACATTACATTTTTATTTATATAAATAGATAGAAGATGATCTGCTTTAGTTCATTTTAACAGAAAAGCGTAATGCCTCACAGAAAAGCAAACTTAGGGCGTCGTACTCGTAGCGCCATCTGTTGGACATAAAAGCCTTAACCTAGATTATATATTTTAATTTATATGAATGTTTAACGGAATAATATACAGCCTATGTCCACCCTGAGGTTCCATTTTAAATATTGGTGAAAGAATTTTTGAAATCGGATGAGTAGTTTCGGAGATTACCTGCTGCAACGAAACTTACATACATACAAACATTACATCTTTATATATTAGTATAGATATAGATATAGATTTAAAATTTAATGTGCTGATCTACTATATTTATTGTATTCTATTTTGGAACAGTTTGTATCCAGTGTTCTAAAATTAGTGATTTTAAGATGGCCAATTATTAAACTGAAAATGTTAGTGTATGATCAAATAAACCTGTCCGAGAAGGATTTTAGTGATGATTTTAATAATTATTCTTTCTGTTGAGTATTTTAATTCATTTATGTTTTAGTGACCGAGATAGATGATGCATTCGTACTGATAGGATGCTGGAGAGTCACAAATTCCAAGCAGAAAATCGAAAAACGAATGGAAGTGACATATTGTGAAGCAGGGATTTCAATCACGTTAACTTCACTCACCAACTTTATTTCTTATTGCATTGGAATGATGAGTCCGTTTCCTTTTATCAGAATATTCTGTTATTATACAGCGACTTGCATCGTATTTACCTTCCTGTATCAGATAACGTTTTTTGGAGGATGTCTAGCGTTAAGCGGATACAGAGAAGAAGGCGATATTAGTTTCTTGCAATATTTTACACGAGGTGAGTCAAAATTTAGATTTGCGATAATTTTTAAAATTTTTATATAAATCAAAACCTCTATCCATAAAACGGTGAATTTATTTGATCGCAATTTAACTATTCAGTTGTTGAGAATTCTAAATGTTTGTTGTCTTTGGAATTTTACTCTAATGCCTTTTATTGTAACGTCTGAGTTGTGTTTCCCTTCCGCGTTGTATGCTGAAAGAGAATTTCATAACACTCTTAGTAGTTTAAAAATTTCGAAAATTTCCCCAATGTCAAAACTTTTAAAGAAACAGTCGAGATTATGCACAAGACAATGAACGGATTTGATGGATTATAGAAAACTTTTGAATAAACTTAAGACATTGGCGACGTCAATGGTATTACATTAGAGCGTCGTTTATCCGAAAGTCGATTATCCGAAAGAATTCCAGTTGGCCTAAAGTATAATTTTTATTTGTCTTTATATTTTTCAATGTATTTATTTCGTTTGTAAAAAATAAAGAAATAATTTTTAACGATACAGTAGCCACGATTATTATTTTAAAAAGTTTACGTTAGGCTTAACATCGACGAAAATTCAACGCGAAGCGACACGCAACGGAGAAAAATTTCAGCACGGGATAGGTTAATATATTTTTTTGTACATAATCGGTTATCCGAAAAATAAGTTATCCGAACAACCCCAGTCCCCAATTGATTCGGATAAACGATGCTCTACTTTATTTTTTTATTTTAGTTTTATCGTTTTCTCTTTTTTTCACGAAAATGCTGATGACTTGGGAGCACTAAGATTGGCCTTACTTTACCGCTAGACTCATTACAACAATATTATGACTTACTTCTATCATAATCATTACTAATGTAATTGTTTATTCAATTTAGAAATATATGGTTTTGTCAATTAATTTATAGCGTATTCTTTTTACTTATAGCATTAGATCATTCGCAAATTTGTAGAATTTTATTGTCTTTTATGAAATCTATTTATCAATTTGTGAAATTTTCTTGACTCTCAACTGCAAATAACTTCTGAGTTTTGAAATGTACGTTTTGTGTCGTAAATTCTTTCCTTTAAATGTTGCAACAAAGGGTAATGTAGAATTCGAAAATAATCATTTTTTAAATACTATTTCCTTGAAGTGGTTACATTTTTGGATTCGTTTCTCTCAAACATTGCATGAATTTCTGACCTTTTCAGTAATTCTATTCTTGCATCAATTTCATTTTCGATATTCCAAATTAATTCTTCCCTGTGTCCTCGAATTGTTATCTGTTTTGTTGAAATTATTTTTTCTGGTATTCAACATCAAAGGTGCAGAAATTTCATATAAAAATCTTGTAAAGCATCGGAATGTAAAGTGCATTGTAATGACAAATCCAGCCTTCTTCATTTTTGAAGAAAATATGGCGTACTGATTTGAAAAGTTGCAACTGCTCGTGAATTTCATTTATCAACAACATTCTCAAAATTAAGAAAAAACAAAGAGTGGGAATTTATTGGAGTACAATTTTTTTCAAATTGCAGCCATTAAGAAATCTCATTCGTTACCATCATAACAATTATTATTATTTTATACTAAACTCAATTATTACTAAATGTCATTGTAATTCGTTAAGCAACATGTATGCGTAATGTGACTTTCTCTACCTCTGCGAATTCAGTCACAGTGAATTTAAAAAACCATCTATTTGTTATGTGCCAGGGTTTGTATATGCAGATATATATTAAGAATATTAAGTAAAAATTAAAATTCTATCCTAGCCAATTTTGCAATACGGATATGTAATTTTAAAACAGATTTCATTACTTAGTAGCCTGTGTTGCATTTTAACTTTTGATTATTTTCATTACAGAGGAATTCGTAGAAACTATTCGAAGGAGTAACAAAGTAGAAGAAAAAGAAGCATTCATGGCATTTTTCGGAGATGTATTAGGAAAAATACTTTCACATCCAATAGTGAAAATAATTGTTTTGTTTATCTACGTCATTAATTTAAGTATTGGAATTTGGGGTGCTCATTCCATTACGCATGGCATCAAGTTTGAAAATTTATTTCCCAAAGGCTCTGTACTTAGAGAAAGCTCTCGTATTCGATTCACATATTTCAGTGAGTACTCTTATCCTTTTCACATAATCATTAACAAACCCTTGGATTACTCAGATATAAAAGTTCAAGAATCCATAGAAAATCTTTTAAAAAAATTCGAGCAACATCCCCACATGGCAGAAGAGCAGTACACTGTATCATGGTTAAAGTTTTATAAAGAATTTCAGAATAACCCTGTCGCGAAATTCTCGTTAGGAGGTTATAACATGTCGAACAAACAAGATTTCATCGATGGTCTTCGTAATGTCTTCTTCAAAGTGCACGCAGCCAAGTCACTGTCAAATGATGTCGTGTTTAATAGCAATGGAACCGACATCTTATACAGCAGATTCTTCGTTATGGGAAAAGATTTGAACTCTTCACAAACAGAGAGAGATACGTTGAAAGAATTATGGGAAATTGCTGAAAAATCTGAAATTCCTGTATTGGTACATTGCATAAAATCGAGTATAATTAACCAAGGAATAATCATAGAACATACAATTTACCAATTATTTTGGATTACGGCTGTTTTAATAACTATAATCTTTTTCTCAATGGTACCAAACTTGTTAGTTGCCCTTATTGTGGCCATTTCAGTGGTTACTTCAATTCTAGAAACATTGGGTTACATGTCATTATGGGGCGTCAATGTGGATATATTCTCTATGATGAACCTTATTTTGTGTGTTGGATTCAGTGTGAATTACCCTTGTCACATGTCTTATGCTTATATCATGTCATCCAGGAAAAGTGCGAATGAGAAAATAAGAGAATCTTTGTATCGTATTGGGTTTTCTGTAATACAAGGTTCTTTGTCTACGGGGCTAGGAATATTGATTTTGTATTCTGATGTATATTTTCTGTCGACATTTGTAAAAATTGTAGTTCTTATTGCAGTACAAACCGCGTTTCACGCATTGTTTTTTATACCTGTCATACTGTCCACGATTTCTTCCGTGTTCGAGAAGAGACTAAATATTTAAGTATTCTGCAATGTTGCATATCTTTATAAACAATTAATTGGCAAGTTATTTAATGTCTGTCAGAAAAACATTGTTACACTCTTCTTCAGCCTCTGTTATCTCACATCATACTCCATAATTTTGTATTCTTTTCTTCCCGGTTTCACTCATTAAATTCCATTATTATTTTTTATTTGTTTGTTTGAAAAAGTAAACATGTATAAAATATTCTTATGTAATTTGAAGTTATAATATATTTAATAATTGTTTTTATAATTGGGAAACAGTTATAATTTTTACATATTGCAATAATCTAATTTTAAATATTTTGTATAATGTTTAAGTTTTCAAAATAAATTTTTAATTTGAATTCTGGCCAAGTCTACAAATAGAGTTCGTTTTGAATTGGAATTAGCTGATTAACTGACATTTAGACTTTATTTAAAAAAAGCGGTCGCAAATCTGTATATGAGTGTGTATAACTGTATATACAGGGTGTTTCGTGTAAGAAATGATACAAAAATAACACAGAAAATTGCTCCTAATAAGAAAAATAATGAGACCAAGTTTATTATCTCTAACAGGCTTTAAAAAGTAGCCTCTCAGAAATTGTAAACTTGTATTTATACATATATTCATAATGCTTAAATATTAAATTATTAATTTCAATAAGAGATTGCACCTAATGTCTACCTTTAATGAAAATTGTTAAGCATTGATATTGTGATTATGGGGGCGTAAGGCTCCCGTTCACTTGTCAGGACGTCTAATTGACTCTCAAATGTCAGGTGAGTGGATGGAGAGAATTTGGGGTCGACGATAAGGTGAAGGACGTGATCAAGTAAAGGAGTCTACCATATTTATAACAAATAAAATAACAATTTATTAAAACAAGCGAATTGATCAAAGACTACACAAATTGCGTTTAAACCACCTAATGTGCTTGAGAGAGAGCCGCTGTTCATACCTCTTTATGGAGTTCCTTGATCGGTTTAATCCAGGGAGGCGCTTAAATGTTCAAATCTATTATCCACAGGAGCACAATTTTAAAAAGTTCGCGATCTTTTCGATGATTTTATTCGAGGTTCATCGGAGATCGGATTCGGCGGGTTCGGAGAATTGGCACAATGTAGTCGGTCCCGCATTCGGTAATAGACTCCCCCGAGAGGGGGTAAGAACGGTCTTTTATAGGTTTTTGTGGGGAATTTCCACCACGTGATCGGATGTTCATGAGTTAAAGGTTATAGGTGTTCCTGGGATCTACAACAAATGACGACATTTAGATGCTAACTGTAAACCTTCTTGCAAGACGAGATGCAAGTTCTGCAGAAAACAATAAATGTTGCTAGTTATGACCGGAAAGTTTACACAATCCTGGCTAAAAATTGTTTTTCTCTTCTAGGACGTTACATAAACGAAAGTTTAATTAATTAACATTTTTGTTAATAAAAGAGCGGGATTTCCGTCACAAANGCTCATTGTTTTCTGCAATTACTAATTATAGATTATTTAATACATTTTAATGTTTTAATTAATAATAATTATGTCTACAGTTTAAATTAATTACAGATATACTTTACAAGGGAACGTTGTTAACAGTTTTTGCTTGGGTATTTTTCCATGAAAATCGTTGAAGGTATGAATCTTTTCTAAACGCTGAAATGCCATGTAATTCCTCTCATATCAACTGTATTTTTTTTAATATTGCTTACTTTATTAAGCAATATTAAAAATGTTAACGCATATGGGAAGAAACCCACTTGGTCTAACACGGTTACTAATGCCTAATTAAGAACATTATCATACATTCCTTCTAAATATAAAATCAATATAACAGCTAAAGTTCATAAGCCGGGTGCAGTTGCTCGCCACTAATGAACATTAGTAAGGGATATGCATGTTTCTTGGAGTAAATAAAACAATAATAATACTCAGAAAAAAACTGTTTATATAATGCAAGTGCATTTGTATCTTCTGAAGCATCCCTTTTCAGTTTCCCAGTAAAAAGAAATTAAATGTAACAAATATATGATAAAATATATTAGTTTACATACAATTTCAGACATTGAATTATTATTACAAAATTCATTTTCTGCAATTAACACATTGATTTGCATAATGTTTCTTTCATTACATGTAGTTGCACTGGATGAAATATGAAGTAGTAAAATAGTTCGTTTTTTCCGAATGCAAGACCTGACAAATTGTTATTTCGTTTTTATTGTTGGACTCTTTCCGAAAATAGAAAAATTTTCTGTTAAAAATATTCGATAAAGAGGTGCAATTGTGACTGCTAGGTTCGTGACTCTAGTTTCTTTTTCATCATGGTTTAGTTATCTCGTAGGTTTGACTGCGTGGATTTTTTCGGGTTTTCTTCACTTTTGTAATATCTATATGGGGCCAGTTTCCTATATAATTCCTTCTGGGAGGCAGATCGCTCACTTGTCTCGTTGTTAAATTAAACAGGGTACGTCTCTCTAAAGCGATATGAATATATTCGTTTAAATTACTAAAAGATAATATCTGGAAATATAGAAAGCGGTTATTGTGCGATACACAAAAAATTTTGGTGTGAAATTGCCTTTATAAGTAAATATCTTTCTGATATCTAAATTTATCGAAGTGTTCGTTTTCTACGAAATTTCTTTAGATATTAATTTAAAAGTGTATTTCTTGAACTCTTCATTTTACCGATATAAAAACAACATCAACAGTACTTTAATTATCTTTTATATCATCAAATTCAGTTCAGTTCAAATTTTCATTTTCATTTAGGTAATTATTTCGTACACATAAGCGATAAGAATTCATTAAGATGCTTTTAAAATACAAAATTCTAATTACTTTTATCCGACAAATTTTACATACAATCTGTAAACGAAACAAAAAACTGATAAAGCATTATTTTAACCGGAATTATTTCAGTTCTAAACATTGAAATAATTATATATTTTCAGTATATATATAATTAAACTTAAAATGTTATATTGTTTTTATATTGACTGAATGTCTGAGTAGGAGTATATATTTTATGAAAGTGACAGGATTATTTATTTAAAAAGACACGGAATATACAAGAATTAGCGAAGGAACATAAATTGTTAAATGGCAATCCTTCCCGGTTCCTAGTGGATTCTTCATATACTCATGGGATGTTTTAATGCATATATAGAATTACAGTCTTCTAACACAAGTAAAAAATCTTTGTAAACGAACTTAAGAAGGGAAAATTATAAAATATTAACAAAGAGCGATGACCAACTTTGTTTGGGACGTATGTGAAATGTACTAGATCGGGACCGAAACCTCTAAAACTCACATAAAAATTAAAAAAGTGTGTATGTAAGAAAATTTAAAACTAAGAGAAGACCCAGCAACGAGTTTCTTAACTTTCCCAGCAACATTTAAAATTACATGTGGCGCCATCTTTTAGCATATTTTACTTAAAACATTTTTATATTTATTATAAAATCGCGAAAAGCTTAATTTTTAGAATACGGGGGAGTTTTATAAAACATTATAAATGCTAATAACAAGGAAAAATCATCATTAAGTCTGTTCCTACTGTTGCGCTACCGGACCCCTTTATCTTTCCATATCCTCGACCTTTAACGATAAAATTTGACAACAAAAAATTCAAGAGCAATTCTTTAATAAGCATATTTAACTGCAAAATTTAAAAAATAAAAAGGAGTTATTAACATTCAAAGAGGGTGAACAAAATTGTGCACACAGACACACGCACGCACACATACACACTAAAACCATACATACAGAAAAAAACCCTTGAATTATTTTGCATTTTTCGATGTTTTAAGGTGTCCTGAATAGAAATATGTAACAAATCTTGGGGGATTATTTTTAATAAATGTGGAGAACGTCGTAATAGAATTGTTAAAATTCTAGATTGTTATAATATCAAAACACAACAGCTTATAATACAAGAAAAAAGGGATAAAGTTAAATAAACAATTATCGGACAGATTTAAAATGAGATATCAAAGTGTACTCGACGACCGACCTTTCTCGCACCCTAATTTGACTCTTGATAAGACTTAGATTAGATAGCGAGAAAAGTCGGTCGTCTTGAAACAGAAGTGTTTATGTCTGAAAATTTGGTCTGGAAACAGAGTAGTGACCAATTGAGAAGCGAAGAAGGGAAGTCTAAACTAATCAAAACCGTAATAATTCGCTAAAGTCCTATATATATTATGAAATCAAAACAATGGGCTATTATCTACCAGTCGTTCACCTGCGACGGCCGGATGGCCGCGCGGTCAAGGTGGCAGCCTACCACTCTAAGGCACCTGGGATCAAATCAGGAACGGGTCAATGAATCCTCAGGAATTTTTAAGGGAGTGGTTCTTTCCTAAAGCATATGTTGTGTCCGATCCCTCACCACCCGGTCGCTCCATTGTGGGCCTGGGCGAAACCATAATAGGCCTGCTATAAGAGGTCCTCTTAGTGCCCATAAAACAGAAAGAGTATAAAAAAAAAAGTTGTTCACCTGTATTCACTCCCGTCTGTCCTACTTTTGCACTGCTTAAAGTCAGTGCAAGTTCTAAACTTTAAATTTGTGAGTGTGTTTCTGCTTCGTCTTCTCAACCGAGACCACCTAGGACTTTTTTCAGGTCACCTAAGACGTGCCAACCAAACATTTCATCGAAATCAACGCTGCTCCGGGCCATCCACCTCGAGTTACAGAGGTATATCATACAAATCCGGAATTAGAAACAATTTCTAGTTATTTCAGAAGACTCTTGTAAGTTTATTTTTAATCTTTATAATAAACGGGTTAAAGATGCATTAGGAAAATTTCTACAAATCAGGCACAGAAAATAATTATTGTGTGTATCTCCTTAATTTTTCACTTAGAAGTTTGGATGCTCATTCCATCGCACACAGAATAAACTATGAACAATTTTATTATACGTATAAATATGTATAATAAAATAGCCAGCAACAAGTTGCGTAACTTTCCCTGCTATTAGGAGATTTTATTTAAAAAATAACTTTTATATTATTAATCATACTATTAATTAATAAATACAGTGGATGATCGGTTAACGAACAGTTCGGATAGCAAACAAATCGGATAACGAACACTTTACTCAACAAACATAAAAAGAAGCGACAGAAAGTAACGAATACCGATTGATTTTCCCATGTCTTTAG